AAAAACAAACTCTCTAATGAAGGAGATTATGGCCTTATTATAGATATGAGCAGCTTACAATGTTGCAAGTACTATAACCAAGATATGTACAACTCAAATACAACACAGAAGGCCACAAGTCTACTGCCACCTGGGAGACGCTAGAATGAGGTAAGGAAAGGAAGATGGGGTTGCGGATGTGGACGGGAATGACATGTAAGGACTGTGTAACTTGCATTATAACCTCTAAAACGGCAAAACCACTGTAACAAGTTACTAGTAAGCTTGATGCTGCATTGCAGACAACCTCTAAGGTTGATTGGCACAAGCTCACTCGGCTATGTTAGAATTCTGGTATTAACAGATTTCATATAGGAACAACCCTCACCTACTTCCAACTACTTTGCAAACCACATGCAGATGCCACCTACTTACTCAGCAGAAGTTCAATAATTTGCTTTAATTCCTCTTCAAACCCAACATCCAAGATACGGTCAGCCTCATCAATAACCAGACACTGCAGGTTTTTATACATAAACCCTGGGGTATTCTAACAAGACAAAGAAAAACTGTTAACTGTCTTTGTTGAGGTTTCACACAAGACAGTAAGACAGGGACTACACAACAGTGTTCTCTTACCTGCACGTGGTCCAGGAGACGGCCTGGTGTGGCCACAATAATGTTGATCCCGTTAGCTAGTTTCTGCGCTTCAGCAGATCTGTTACTGCCCCCCATTGTTAACCCATACGTATGAATATGGTGTGTCATTAGCTCCTTAAAAACACCAAAAGTCTGCATGGCCAGCTCCCTCGTAGGTGAGAGAATAAGGACTCCTGTTCCTACAGAGGCAACAATGACATGTGGTGAAAGTCAGCCTGCAGTTATCACCAAGAGCGCATACCCGCTCCAATAACTCTAGTGAGGTACGGCAAAGACAGTGGATCACAGACTTACCATTTCTGGGCATGAACTTTAACTTAACAATGAGTTCAACCGCAGGGACGAGAAATGCCAGGGTTTTGCCACTGCCTGTTTTTGCAGCTGCTAGAAGATCCCTAAGGGATTAAGACAGGAAAGGGTCAGAGACACTTTAGTCTACTCATTCAACAAGTCACGTACTGAATACCTATCATGTCACTACCACATATGGTTTGGGCATCAATGCCAGAACATGAGTAACAAAAGACCCAGTCCCCACCTTCTCCATCGCTGAAAGCAATCACCTGCGTCAGATACCCAACTCAGAAATAAGAACCATGCTATACAACAGAAGGGAACGCTTTTCTTCAAACATCAGCAAATAAGTCTTTAAAGCAGGTTGGATACATAAGCCAACACACAGTGCAAAATCAACCGAACATACTGGTATTTCCTTTCTGAACTACTGGCACTGAAAACAGATTAAAGCCCAAACATCCATGTGGATCATACCTGCCTTCCAGAAGCAGTCTGATGCTTTTATGCTGAATCTCGGTCATGTTTGTACAGCCCATTTCTTTTATTGCCTTTAGAGTGTTCTCATTGACAAGACTAGTCAGAGAAGCAAATGAAGTATCCTCGAAGGCTCCTAAACAGAAGACAGTTTATCATGAGCAAGTTTACCCCCTTTTTTATCAGGTAATACTGCTATAATTGCCTAAGTTAGTTTTGCTGGCTAAAGGCACCACTGGGTTGGAGTCAAGCTTAGAAGAGCTTCCTCCAGTCAGAAAAGCCAAATCCCCAACCATTTCTATATATAAAGACGACGACCCTACACTTCTGAAGTTTCTCCACCGCTGACGGCGGTGTACCTTATAGCCCAGAGCCTAAACTGTGACAGAATAAGAAGGGGCGGAGAGGACGTACAATGAAGGAACTTGTATGAAATGAAAATGGCAAGGCTGGTCAGGTTGGGAGAGAGTGCAGAGAAAAACGAAATGTTTAAGAAATTTGAAATAAAAAGTGAAAACATTTAGTATAATAACAACTGAATTTGAAGTCAATTGAAAGAGTTGTTAATTTAACTCTAAAGAGACAACTGAGAAGAGTCAGGTGCAGACAGAAGCTGTTAGAGTGAACCCACACAGCAAGTGTGCTGTGGACCTGCAGCAGGTGAAGGCATCAGAATGACCCGTGAGCTCCCCAGCCCACACACACCCTGGCTATAACCCAGGTCTTGCCAACCTGGGCACTATGGACATCGTGGGCTGGATAATTCTCTGTTGTGAGAGGCTGTCCTACGCATTATGGGATGTTCTGCAACATCCCTGACCTCCACCCACTAAATGCCAGTAGCCTGGCCCCAGTTCTGACAACCAAAATATGCGGCCAATCCTCACAGGCCACCTGGGACAGAGGTGGGATTTATGGGATGCAGGACCTTCAGTGTTAAAACTGGTCAAATCCTGGGTAAACTGGGATGAGCTGGTCACCCTACCTGGGAGGCAAAACTGCCCTGGCTGAGAACCACTGCCAGAGCCTTTGCCATTCTGATTGAGCACATCTGGTGCTGGGCCTCAACATTTTAACAAACAAAAATCTCAAACCAAACCACTCAAGTAACTCCTGGACATCTCTGGTTAGGAACAACTCATGCTAGCCTAAACTCTTGACTTTACAGACAAAGAGCCAAAGGCCAAAAGAGGTCAACCCGGCACAGGCCCTCAATAATGTTAATCTCATCCTTCTTCCTTATCAGTAACTGAGCCAGTACTAAACTTCTGGGCTCCAGACTCCTGCGCCAATGATTTTCCTACTACGGTATGGGATGAGCTCTAGAAAACGACAAACCAAAGGAACAAAGGATCCCAGAAGTTGTTTGTGTACACAGCAAAATATTTCCAGACTTTAACTCAGAATTTGATTTGTGTCTTTGTTAGACTTTTTGTCTGATGCAGAGGGACGGTACCTGATCCTTTTTGTGAAACTAGGAAGTAGGGCCCCTGTGTTATTCCTAAAACCTCCAACACTGTCATTCTGTGAAGTTGTTGCCTTTTCCCCCAAAGCCTGGATCTCTAGTGATTAGACCTTCCTCAGCCCCATGCTAGAACTTTGAGGGCAAAGAATCTAGTCTAGATATGAGGAGAGGGTGAAAAGGAAGTGATCTTCTGCATTTGGTTTGGGCATTTTGAGTGTCTGTGAATGTTCCGTGTTGTGAGTTGAATGCTGGGGGCCTTCCTGTCTGGATGTGAGAGCCTAGGCTGCTGGTTACCAGATTTCTTAATGTCATGGACCAGTAAAATTTTAAAGCAAAAATGGAGGTTGACCTACGGTTGCCATCTGTCTTTTGCCAGGCAAGGGCCTTTTTAAAAGTAACTGCTCTTAGTTTCTCTATCATTTCCTAAAAAGCCATTTAACTCCCAATCTTAAAATAAAGGACAGTCCTTCAAATTGAATACATTTAGCATCCTGAAAAGCTTACCACATGCCTCTAGTTTTTTCCTGTTTTGCTGGAGACCAGTGCAAGGATAGTCACGGACCAGCAGTTGGGAACCATTGAACTTGTCGTCTTGTGCCGGGCTCGAGACTCATCCCCCATGTTCACACCGTTTACAAAGCTATAGTAACACACTCTGAATGCCAGCCGGGAGAAAAACGGGTCTAACTTCCAGCCATTGGTATTCTAGGTCACATCTTTTTTTCCCATGTGGGATGTGATCCTGTGAGGGTAGCTATTTTTCTCGAATGCCAGGGAGCTGTGGCAGAGCTTGGCTGTCCAAGAGGTTCCCTCCATAGCACTTCATGCTGGGAACTCCAAAACAGTATTGGATTGTCTGTGGGAATCCTATGACTCAACATGCTTTGCCTTCCTTATCTGATCACACTCTCCGGCATCCCACCAAGTGATAATTCTGGGTAGATCTGATTAATGGAAAAGGAAACAATATGAAAGGCCAGAAACTGGATCTCTGGATCCAAAGCAAAGCAGAGACAAATTGGCTTGAGCAAGTGTCAGCCTCCTTAGTTGTCTGGGGCTGTGGTGCTGGGGTGGGGGTGCGAGTTAGGAGCTACCGTAGTTCTGAGTGTGGTCTCATCCTCTGCCCCTGCTTCTGGCTTTGTCCGTTCCTGAGGTGGTTGTTTGGAGATGGGGTGGAGTGGAGTGATGGAAATAAATGGAAGATGCTGACAACAAAAGAATGTTCCTTATATAGATATTCTCAGCCGCCCCTATCCTGGGCAGCTACTTCCTAAACGTGTCCTTTCCTGGAGCTGGCTGCCCTCCATGATCAAGCATTTCTTCCTGTCCCTGTGGGAGCACCATGCAGCATGCCACGTGTCTACTTTCCTAGGCAGCTAAACCTTGCCACGTGTGGCTGTGCTCTTGGGGAAACACAACTACTGTCCAAAAACTGCTTTGGAGATGTAGTGGCTCTCTCTGGAGAGAGAATGGCAAGCCTGACAGATGGCACCCCCTCCATAATGCTCTTCAGTAGTACAGGAATTGAATGAAGAGCCAGGGGAGGACAACAAAGGCTCTTATTTGACTTTGCGTTCTTACCCTCAGAGCACCGGAATCTTCCACAGGTTATGGGGTGTGGGTGTGTGCATGTGTGTGTTTTAATGAACTGGAGTTTTAGGTAGGGAGAAACACCTCCTTTTGCATATCAGCCCAAAAGAGCTGGGAAACATTTAATGAAGCCCATATGTCCAGCCTTTTGGTGTGGAAGAGCCTGTGAGTTGTGACGCCCAGCTTTGTGGTTTGCTAGCTGTGGATCAATGGGCAAATTACGTAGTCTCTCTGAGCTTCAGGTTCTGTCATCGCGGCCAGTACCAGCCACCTTGTAGCATTGTGTGGACTGAGAGAGAGAATGTTGTGAGTGCCAAGCTAACCCGAAGCCCAAGGCTGTGTACTCAGTACACCCTGTTCTCACATCTGAATATTTTGGGGATGTTTTTTCATCTGTCAGTTCAGGGTTATACTAGGTGTTCTCTCTGGTTCTTCCCCTTTCTCTGGTCTGTGGTGCAAGAAGCAGGAAAAAGAATGACGTTGAGATCGATCGCTATAACCAGGAGGTTGTGGGGATAGCTGCATTTGTGTTATGTTTCGGGTATTTACAAAGCACTCTAGTACATGTGGTTTCATTTGCTCCCACAGTAGCTCTGTGAGGTGAAAGGAACTGACGTTCTCAGTTTCACTTTACATGGAGAGGGAAACTGAGGCCTGAGGCTCTGAAGTGAGGCTCCTCCTGCACAGCTGCTCAGCTCTAGGTCCCACTGGATCTTAGCATCTCAGACGCTAAGCCAGTTGCTTTTCCATTAGGACAGTGTGTGTTGATAGCTTGTCGTCACTTGGTCAGTTCAAGGACAGTGATTTGGGTTCACGAGTGGAGCCGTCTCTGAGTTGGCCTTCACCGCAGTGGTGTTTCACCCCATCGGCTCACGTTTCCTAACTTTCTTCTGCAGTGGCTGGTGAAGCGAGCTATAGAAACAAAAGAAGAGATGGGTGACTACATCCGCTCCTACTCTGTGTCCCAGTTCCAGAAGGCCTACAGTCTCCCTGAGGTCAGTGTTCTCACTTTCTTTTCTTGTCCAGCTGAGAGCATGGGTGCACACTTAGAAGGAGCAGAGTGAGTGCAGGCTGCCCTGCGCTCCCACCCCCTGTGTGGCATGTCTGCCTCTGCCTGGGCAGCACTGAGACTGGGCCTCCTGGGTCTCTAGAACTGCCTCTTTAAATGGGCACTGAGTGGAAAGCCCTAGAGTTTTGTCCTTTTCTGTCAGTTTTGGTACTTGATCCAGAACTTTTATTAAATTACAGGAACATGAGTATATTTTTGTATAGTCATATAAAGCTTCTCAAGAGACCACTTGCCTAGAACATTCTTAGAGGAACAGTTGAAAGGTAATCAAAACAACAATAATAGCTCATCACTATGAAATGCTTACTACATTCTAGCCCCAGCACATCACCTGCCTTCTACTCTTTATCCTCGTGACGGCCCCCTGAGATAGGTGTTTCTGTCCCTGTTTTACAGATGGAGAGACTGAGGCTCAGAGGCTAGGTAACTTGCCTGAGGCTTCCGCGCTCGTAAGGATTTCTTATGGGAATACTTGTCGTCACCACTGCACTCAGTGGTCCCCGTTTTTCTCTCTGACTATAGAGCTCTGTTTTGGAGCCAGCTGCAGAGGCGGTAGCTTTTTCCTGTGCAGAATGTATTCCAGTTTGTTAGAAAACTGAGACTGGTTCAGGTGAGGTAGTGACGGGAAGTCGGTTTAGAGGCAGACGTCTGAGCAGTCCAGTGCGTTTCAGTCTTCGTACAAGATTTGTTTATTCCTTGTTTTGTCTTACAGGATGATGACTTCCTCAAGAGAAAAGAAAAGGCCGTCAAGACTGTTGTTGACCTCTCAGTAAGTTCCCCTGTCCGAGTCCCTGTGTAAGAGAAGAACGTAGGGTCACAGCCTCCAGATAGCCCTTTGGTTTAGTCACAAACGCCCTGCTCCCTGAGGCTCCGTCTGCTGGGGCTGCCCAGGAGCTGGCCTCAGGTTGGGGTGTGAGGGAAGCCCTGCCTTCTGTGCCCGCTGTCTGGACCCGGCGTTCACGGGGAGAACTTGCCACGACCACTGCACAGTGTTTTTCTTAGTTTCGGTTTGAAGGGAGAAATATTCCAAACTCGTAGCCCTTCCTTGTTTGTCCCAGTGCAGGTATAAACTTTGAGCAGCTCCAAAGAGGAGATGCTGACCTGGAAAGGGTAAATTGAGGTTACTGCCCCCATGGTGGCTTTGGAGAAAGAGTAGCTTCTGTGGAATGTTCTGGGATGGCCTCTGTCACCATGCGCAGCCTGTTGTAACCTCTGGGAATCTGTATGCGTGTGCCCACTTCTCTAGCACAAGGGGTAGAGGAGCTTCGGGCCTTTTCAGAACACTCTGTGCCAGAGCCCAGCAGAACTTGGTCAGCCCGCCCCCACTCAGCCCCCAGCCTTGCTACCTGGACTGATGGGAGTGGAGCCTCAGTGCCAAGGTGCAAATTCTCTTTCTTCTGAAAATAATACATCATGCTGTTTTGCCTGTTTTTTACTTTAAGAATAAGTGTGTGGTCTCCCAAAGTGATTATTCTGAAAAGAGTAGCAGTCATTTGATGATAAAAGACATAAAGTGCTTGTTTAAAACAAAAAGAGTCTTTGTCGCTTTATAGTTGTCATATGTATTTTTTCCCCTATTCCATTTTGGAAATAGGAAGAGTGGAAAACCTTTAAGATAGGTAGGCTCTGAAGCCAGATACAATTTTAAGTTTGGTGGCAGTATTAAGTAACAAAAAGAAGAAGACATGCTATGACAGCAGAGTAATTTTTTTCCTGGTTATGAAATAGGTGTTCAGTTTAGAATATCCTTAAAGTGTTTTTTTTAAAGAGGTTGACAGATACAAGGGAAGAAACTCAACCTTAATTTCAGAAGACTGAAGCAGCCACTTCTGATGGTTGGACATGTTTCTTTCATATTTTTAATGTGCATTTTTATAGAATTATGCTTTAAATATAATTTTGTAGTGTTTTTCACTTACCAATATGGAGATTTTTTTTTTTCTTTTAAGGAAGATTAGCCCTCAGC